GATTGAAGGAAACAAAATTGCTGCTCGACTCTTTGATCTGTGGGAGTGATTTCCATTCTCCGACCCCTACTGTCCAACTTCAGAACAAACATCTCCTTACATACATAGCAGTAAAAGCAAGATGTGCACGTGAATCTGACTTTCGTAATTTTCCATTCAAATAGGATCATAATTTGTATTATACTTTCTATCATATTAATTATGCCATGTACTTTTCCATCAAATCAATTAACATTTCAGGCAAAACTCATCATAGTAATACATGCAAATTTTTACACAGGACCATAGATAGAGGAAATGATCAATACTTATAGACTTGTAGTTGCTATGGATATAATTCCTCTAGATCTTCGGGTAGGTCAAGCAATGAGTTGTAAAAGAGGAGCGAAAAATAAATTCAAGTGGCAGACCTCGAATTTATGAGTAATTTTGTTCATGTTCTGTGAATCTGTGGTAACATAAAATCCACATTGCTCAAAGAGCATATCCGTCTTTCAATTTACATTTAAAACCCAGTTAGCATCAAGAGTTTTAAATGAGTATTAAATGAAGGGGCTCTTTGCATTTTCCCCTGCTTGAACTGAACCGCTTGGCAATAAAATATTCATGCAGTAAGTGTAAATTATTACGAACTGGACCAAAATTATTTGTTGTTGGCCCAACAAAAGGCCATTAGTTTGCTGCTGTTGACTCGATAATCCTTATTGCCTTTGGAAATTGAGAGCCTTAATGGAAAATGCAAATATAAAAGCAAAAACAGCGGCAAACCCAACGACAGCTGCTGCAACCTCACCAACAAAATATTTTCGGAATCCAAAATAACTTCTCAGGAACTCTTGAACCGACTGCTTCATGTCAAGCTGATGGTTTACACCTTTATATTGTGATGCAACTAAGCCATATACTTGATGGAATGGGGATATTTAATCATCACAAAAAGGAAATTAATTTTTCTTCGATGATTCAACCTAAAAGCATGGTGGATCTTAGATCACCTTAAGATCATATGACCTTTTTGTTTAAATCCTAACATGTAAATGGTGAGATAATAACTTTGAAGGAGCTTTTAATGGCATAACAAAATGCTTCATTCGTTAGATCTTCTCCCTTTTGCTCCTTAGGTGCCTCTCATTCTTTGATAAAATGGCTAAAACCCTAACCTTGGTAAATGTGCCCTCAAAGGGCATATTTATAACACACCGTCATCGTTTCATATTTGCATAAATATCTTTGGATTTTATTATAGTCGACCAATTAAGTCACACATCTTTATTGGAGCCAAAAGAGGGACCTAATTAAACTCATAAGACTCAATCTCCAATAAATATTTCTAATTGGGTAAACTCTTGACCAATTGAGATATATCTATTAATCCTGACTTACTCTACCAAAATTACGGGATTGCACTCTTGAGTTGAGTGAAAGTTGTTGACCTCGAAAAATGGC